CCGCCACTGGGGCGGGCGCCGCCGCCGGCGCCGTCAGCCCGGCCTGGCGGCGCGTGCTGTGGGCGCGGCGCCGACGCGCCGCATGCGCACGGCCCGCCGCACGCCGCGTGCGGCGGGGTGCCCATATCAGGCTGCGATCTGGCGCTCAGGGTGGTGCGCCCAGCGCTCGCGGCAGCGGCGCACGCCGGCTCACGTCTTGCTGGGCAGCACCTTGTCGTCCAGCTGCGCCAGCCGCGGCAGCAGCGCGAGAAGCTTCTCCTTGTACCGCGGGTCGCCCGCCGCCGGGTTGCCGTGAAGGTAAACCGTCGTGAGGGACTCCCTCTGGCTGGCCAGCGCGGTGTCCAGGCCGTCCAAGGTTGGAATCTGGTTGTCATTGAGCCACAGGTCCTCGAGGCGGGAGAGCGATCCGAGGTTATCCACCGCGGTCAGGCGGTTGCTGGACACGTCCAAGACCTGGGGGTTGGTTGGTTGTGCGGGATCCAATTGAGCGCGCATGCCTGCTGCGCCCAAGCGCATTCGGCTGCCGCCTGCATTCGGCTGCCTCCTGCACCTGGCTGCCTCCTACATCGGCTGCCACCGCCTCCCTCGAGCCGCGTCCAGGGGCCCCTGCCCCCGACCTCCCAACGGAAAAACGGCAGCGCGGCCCTCGGGGCACCTTCAGGCGTGTGAGCGTGTCGAGCCCCTTAAGCTTCAGTATGCCGTTGTGGGAGAGGTACAGCTCCTCGAGGGAGGTGCAGCCCTCGAGGCCCAGCATTGAGTCCAGCCTGCGCGAGGCCGCAGCAAAACGCATTGATGACCTCGACGAATGCCGTGCAAAGCTGCCCAATCAACCCACATACGGCTGCAGGGCCAGCGCGGCACTGGAGCACTCGTCAGCTTTACAGACCTCGAGCAGGGCATGGGCCCCCAATGGGCACCACACCCCCGCCCAAGGCCGCGCGCCGCCCTCGCCCCAGCGCCGCGCCCCGCACCCACCTGTTGCTCTGCAGCGACAGCCGCACCAGGTTGGTCAGGTGTCCCAGGCCCTGCACCCTCTCCAGCCGGTTGCGCCCCAGCCACAGCTCCACCAGCGCCCCCTGCGCCTCCAGCCCCTCCACCTGCCGGATGCGGTTGCTGCCCAGCTCCAGCACCGTGAGGGCCGTCAGGCTGGACAGGCCCGCGATGGCGGTTATCTTGTTGGCCGCAACGTAGAGCTCACGCAGGGGCGCGCACGAGAGGGACGCGACCGGCTCCAACGACCGAATCTGGGGGTTGGTGTATGTGTGAGCGTGTGAGCATGTGTGTGTGTGTGTGCATGTGTGTGTGTGTATGTGTGTGTGTGTGTGTGTGTGTGTGTGTGTGTGTGTGTGCGCGCGCGTGCGTGCGAGTGTGCGCTCGTGGGTTTGCAGGAGCCTGTGTCACCAATTTCCTGTTATGTCAGGGTTGCATCCATGTGCGCATGCGGGTGCAGCTTTCAGCACAAGACGGCTCCGAAAACCAAAACACAGCCCAAAGAACAGCCGCAACCGCCAGCCACGATGGGTGGCCCACGGAAGACCTGCGGTCACGCCCTGGTGCTGGCGGCAGCCGTCCTCCAACAGCAAAGCAAGCCGCACCTCATTGTATGAGAACTCGAGCCGCCTGAGTGCCACAAAGCCGTTCAAAGGCGGGATCTGCGGACGGGGGCGGCGTCAAGGGTGGCGCCGGGCAGGAGGGGTGTCCGAAAACCGCCTCGCCAGAGGAGAACAAAGAAAGAAGCTTTGCACCTGACTGATCGGGTCATCCATATGCTCGCTGCTGCAAATCTGCCTCAGGCCGCTTTTTGGCCACCCCAAACATACAACCATGCAACAGGGCGTCAGACTGGCCGCGCAGACCCGCAAAGCCTACGCCAAGGTGTGGCCAATGCTATCTTGTTGCTGGCCCGCTGCTCATGGGCGTCGTACTGCTCCTCTTTCAGCCTGGCCCCCCAGCCAACCTGCGTCAGCTGGTTGTCGCGAAATTCCAGGTCTTCCAGCGTCCCCTTGCAGCTGCAGCTGTCCCATGCCGACACGTCAGTCAGCAGGTTCTGGCGGAAGTTTAGGCTGCGCAGGCCTGGGGCGGGGTGATGGGGTTCATTGATGGCAGGGGCACAGGTGCGAGCCCAGGGGGGTTGCGTGTGCAGAAGCCGTCATGGGGGCCAGTATGCCAGGGATGCTGCGAGTGGGATGGCAAGGGGAAGATGGTGCTGCTGCCGCCGCCTGTGGGGAGACATCCCTGTGGGGCGCCGCGGCCCATGCACGATGCCCTGATCGTTTGCAGCATCACGCGGGCACGCCCATTGGCGTCACTGCCGCAGTGCTCGTTGCGGCACTCACCCTTTAGCGCCAGAAGTCGTGGATCGACCTCCTTGAGCCTATTAGCCGTGAGGTCCACCGCCTGCGCGGCTGAGACCGGTGAGCAGCAGGAGATCGCCGAGATCGTGGCGACACCCTTCAAGGAATGCCAGCTCACGGTCAGTCCTTGGTGGACATCCACGTTCTCTAGGCTGTGCAGGTGGGCGTTTGTCAAGTCCAGTTCCTCCGCCATCATCGCGCAAGCCTCAAAGCTGCCTTTGGCCTCGTCCCTGCGCCTCCAAGGAGCTGTATCAAGCTCTCGACATCCCAAGAAAGTACGGTGTCTTCGAATGAGGTTGTGCGGGGGTGCCTGCGCCTCATTACGATGTGCCCATTGGAGCACCTGTCACGCAGCTTTTGCCGCTTTCCTGGGTGCACTTCAGGAATGCGTGCAGACCGGCAGGGACAACCGCCCGTCGGCAGGCATATGTGTTTTTGAATCCCTCCGGCCTGACGACCGGATTTCTTGCACCAATGATGGTGCCGCCACTGATGTTGCGCAGCATGAGCACAACCGTGCAGATGGGGGGGGGGCACTGCATGGTTTGACAGCCTGGGGGTGGACCATCCCAAGTCGCACACATGAATGATCATGAATATCCAAGGCAGCCGCAGCGCAGGCTCGTCCCACCGAGCCAATTGGGGTTTGGCACCACATCGGTCAACTGCGGGTTCATGCAGGCTCGCATGACCGTGCACTCCGTGCGCTACAGGGCAGCAGCGGTGGGATCGTGAGAGCTCGCTCCTCCATGTCTAGCTCGCCCTCTCGCTCAGCTGCGGAGGCTCTCATGCACCCCGGCTTCTGCGCCCCTTGCTGATTGCTTGCTGTTGTGCGCGGCGGTCAGCTCATTTCAAGTCAGTATACGTGCGCCTTTCGTTGCTCTCCGGGAGCAGGAAGTTTTGAAGGGGTTGTTTCCTTGATGGTTACCGACGCCCCGCTCTGCCGAAACACATAGCCTTGGGCCTCAAGCGCACCGCGCGCTGCAGTCACCCGCCTCAAAAAATGGCGGGATGGGTGCAGTCATGCGCCCACCCCATTGCTCTGTTCACAAGGATTATGATCTCTTGCATAATTCTCCGTGTCCACTGATACCTTAGCAGGCTCCGTTTCGTAACAGCTGTATTTTGCGAGCGATGGCTACGCCTGTGATCAGCTCCAGGAAGGAGGCGGAGGTGGCGGAGGCTATTGATAGCTATGAGGTGGGTGAAAGACATGCGTACAAAAAAGGAGATGCCGCCCATAGCCGCGCGAAGCAGTCAGAAGTCTTCAGCCCCCAAAGCACGCTGCCCCTGGACGCTCTGCGGCCTTGAAGACGCATGAATACGCTTTTACATGTAAATCAAATGCTATTTGTGTCGTTGCGGACCCCCTGGCGTAGTCCCAACAAGAAGCGCACGTCGCCACCTGCAGCCATCCGCCCACGCACCCGCCCTTGTGGCCAGGCGGCAAATGCACCTTTGCTGCCTCATAGGCAGGCATATCTCGTGCGATCCGCCCCCCATCAACTAACACACGATCACTGTTGCCTCAGCCACAATCTGCGCAAAATGGCTGCTGGGGTCATGCCTGTGCACATCGCGCCAACACCGCCCCCGCCCCTGGTCAACACTGCAGAAGTACCACACCACCCACGGCGGCGATGTAGAGGGGCGCAAGGCCAAGTACGCCGACATGGTCAACAAATACTATGTGAGTGGTTTGACCGCCTGGCGACCGCCTCGCCAGATCCCACAGGTCCCCAGCAGCACGCCAAGTGAGCAGGGCAGTCTGATGGCTGCCGCCTGCGGCTGCATGGCCATGCGGCGGGAAGCTGAAACCCGCGTGCAGGTTTGGGGGGCAGGCGCCTCGCCTGAGCGTCTGCCGCCGCCGCCACCACTGCATCTTGCAGGACCTGGCGACCAGCTTCTATGAGTATGGTGAGGGATCGACCGGCTCATCAAGCTTTTTACACGAGCTGCTGTCAGCGGCGGCGCGCGATCTGGGTCGATGCCGGCGTGCGGGTTGCGTGTGCTTGCCCGCGGGCGCATACGCAAGCGTGTGTGGGGCCGAAAGGGCGGGTGTGTGGGCGGGAGTGCTCACCATCCTGCTCCGCAAGTAACTGGACTCCCCCCGCCCAAAAGGAAAGACCTCGACGACCCATCCCGCGCCCCCATCTGCCCTCCCCCCCTCTCCGCAGGCTGGGGCACTTCTTTCCACTTTGCGCACCGCTGGTCGCACGAGGCCCATGGCGAGTCCCTCAAGCGCCACGAGCACTACCTCGCGCTGAGGATGGGGCTGCAGCCCGGGGACAAGGTGCGCCCGCCCGCCGGCCCGCGGCGCCCCCTCCTGAGCCCGCCTGCAGCCCTGGTTTTGGGGCGATGCCTGCAGCAACGATTTGGGGGATAGGGGTGGAGGGCAGCGGCGCAGGCGACGGCCGGCCACGCAGCACCCGCGTTTGCCTACGCTGGGAAAGTCCGCGAGAAGCGATAGATCCCAGCCGCAGCAGGCGCAGCCGTCGCAGCGGCTCGCACACAGAAGTGCCTGCGCCGGCAGCAAGAGGTGTCGCACGGGCGGCCGGAGAGGCGCGTGTTGGTGCCCGCCTTGGCCCTGCGTCGACCTTCCGCGGCCCCTCGACCACGCGGCGGGCGCTGTCAGGTGCTGGATGTGGGCTGCGGCGTGGGCGGGCCCCTGCGGGAGATCGCCCTCTTCAGCGGCGCGCACATCACCGGTGAGGCGCGCGGCGCGCCTCGCCGCGCATCTGTGCCGTGCTCTGGCCCTTGAATCGCACGCATTGGGCCTGTGGAGGCAGCCGGGTCCCCACCTGCGAGGGGAGGCGCGCCCAGCCACGACTCGCAGCAGCACGCGGCACCCCTGGGTCACGCCGCCGCGC